ACACACAAGAAAATGCATTTCATGGCATATGTGCAATTTAGCCCCTACATTATTAAGTGGCTTCTTTGAAATAGAAGCCCTGCCTGTAACCACTAGGCCAGACATTCCTGGAGACGGTGGTGTCCCCAGGGAGTGGCCATCAAAAACACCTGGTACCTCTTCCGTCTCCCTTTCTTACAAGTCCTGCCCTAAAATCTGTAGGTTCCTGGTGAAACACTCCAGTATCAGCTTTCTCCCTCATCTCCACTGGCATTACTGAGCATCATCCAGAACTGTCATTAGTCACCTTCTGTATACAGGCACTGTGATGTAAGAAAGTACAAAAAGTAGGACCTGCCTGGGGGGTTGGTGGCAAGTATGTCTGTATAAAATATACACCCCACATATTTAATATATATTTTATTAAAAACATGTTCATGTTTTTTACATATGTATTTTGCAAATATATGGTCACGGAGGATATGCTAGGTGTCAAAAAAGGTGGTATAAATTCAATGCTAAGTGTTATTTAGATGCAGCTGGGGCATCAGAAAAACTCTCAAGGAAGACCTAAACTTTTAAAAAGGTAAGGTGCAGAGAGACATCTGGGTGTAACGTGACCCCTATGTGACACAGCGTGGAGAACACATTGCCTGGAATGTATTCTAGTCATAATTCTTAATTTATCAAGGCCTTAGGATTAACTTCCACTTTACAGGAAATAGAGGCTAGAGAAATAAGATCAGTGACACCATGAGCACTGACCAGATGAATCTATAACGCAGGACATTCTGCAGAATAAGAGGCTAGGTTCCTCTTGAGCAGTTGGGGAAAGAAAAAAGGGCTTTTTTTTTTTTTTTAATGCTAGTATTTTTCTTTTGGCAAAAAGAGAAGTGAGGATATGGTCGCCGCAAACACTGACTGTTGCTGGAGTGGATTCTGGTTTGGATAATCAGCTGCAAAGGCCATTTCGGAAACAAAGAGGTGGAGGACTGCCAGGGTAGGAAAGGGCAGGGGCGTGAGGAGTGACGAGCAGGGATGGGCAGGGGGGGTGGGGCACGGAAGGCAGGGCGAAGGATGAAGTTGGGGGTGGGGATAGGACAGAACAAGAGGAATGCCGGGGCGAGGCAGGGCGAGAGAGACAGTGGCAGTGGCAGCAGCCTCAGGGGCCAGTAGTGGCAGCAGCAATTCTGCAGGCCCAGAGGCCTTGTGAGAAATCAGCCTCCTTGCTGGGTTTTCAGTGCTGGGCAGCCTCAATCTCACCCCGAACTCCTGGCTCTCACCCACCTCCTCTGCAACAGCCGGCTCAGCTGGGGGTCTCTGCTCCTGGTCTTCCCCATCCTCTAGAAATAGAGAACCTGGCCTGCATCTCACTGGCTGACATGTTCCTGAGTGCCTGTCTGCTCTGCTACGTGTCCCCTGGACTCATTCTTGCTTCCCATCAGGTCCTGCCACTTCCCCAGAGTGACCTTGGAGTCCTCCTCTCCCACCTGGAGAGCCGCCAAGGTCCCGCCAGGGCCCAAGTCTTTCCTCCTCCATCCCACCCACCGCATGGGTCCTTTGTCTGTCGACTCCCTTCTTTCTTCCTGCTACCTTCTTGATGTTACTAGCCAGTAACCTTGACAATGACATAATGTCCCTGTGCCTCAGTTTCCACAGCTGTAATACAGGCATAACAACAGTACCTACTCCACTTAGGTATTGTGAGGATGAAGTCAGCACTAAGTTTGAATTGCTGAGAGCAGCACTCACACAAAGCAACAGCTAAGTATCCATGGTCATCACTATGTCCCTCCTCTCCTCTGCCCCAAGCTTGCCAGAGCCCACGGGCAGAGCCTCCTCCAGCCCAAGACACTCGGTCATTCTGAGGTTTAATGAGTGACCGAGGGAGAGGAGTCCTGGACACGATGAGCAGGAGCCCAAACTTGAGGACTGTCTGAATCTTTCTCCATCCCGGGGTGGGAGGCAAAGGGAGGGAGTGATGCTCCAGAACAGAAGCTCTGGAGTCTACTCTGGGTAATTCAGGCTGAAACATCACCTGGCTTATGGGACAAAGTTCTCGTGAGTTTTATGACTCTGTGGAAAATATTTTGGAGTAAAAATCTCTATTTAAGAGTCATGGCTGGTGCCTTTCCAGATGGCAAACAGCTTAAAGATGTGTTTCTAGCTCTGCCAGATTTATTTGTCAGGACACTAATTATCTCATTAGAAATAGGTTCCTCTTATGATTATGATTAGCTTGCCATCTTTTGTTTTGTTTTTTGATTCTGGGAAAAGAACACAGACTTATAACATCCCTGGCCAACAGAAACCTTGGACTTTTCCAGAGCAGAAACGCCCTAACCCAGTAAGCATTGCTCCCAGTCACCGTCTCCCTCCCAACAGACATAGACAGGGCGAAATCGTGTTGAAAATCAGAGTGGGTTTCAATTCATTTTGTTCTGAGTATTTTGCAGCCCTCCCTGACATAGCTACGGACAGCTCTGGTGGAGCTCTAAGATATGGGCTGCTTCTAGGGAGATGCCTGGTCCCGCAGAGGACTTCACGGCTGCGCTTGTCAGAGGAAATTTCACGTTCTGCCTTCAGGGCAGGAAGAATGAATTTAACGTGGCTAAAGCCAAGGGAGGCTATAACAGTATTTCAAACACTCAAGTCCAATCTGAAGAAAAAGCTGTCTAAGTTGTCTGTGTTTCTGGACACCAGGTTGAAGAGTGGGGTGACGGGGAGGAGGCGGCTAACTCAGCCTTGATGGCTAAACCATGATGGTGGACAACAGTAAATGGCTGTGTGAACGTCCAGGTGTTCTTTCTTGGGGGTCTTAGGGCCTCTAACCTGCTGAGGCAGTGGGGTCAAAGAGAAAACCTCCCTTTTAATGCCCCGATCTTCCTAAGCAGGGAGGTAATTCTAAGTGGCCACCTGTGTATCCACTATCCCCAGCACCGCCCCACATACCTTCAACAACAAACCATCAGTTTCCTAGGGAGGAATGTAAAACTATGCGTGGCCACAGAGGGCATCTATGCGCACTGAGAGGGGATGAAAGGAGCCACTGTTGCCACAACTCCAGATGGGCAGTGGGGTGTCCCTGCAGGAAACAGGGAGCCAAAGGGCCCCTCCCTGGCCTCCCCTGACACTGACAAGTCAGGCTATAAACATCTGCCCCAAGTTGGCCCCAAGCATGTATTGCCTCTGGTGTTTTATGATACATCTCAAACCAGACCGTGACAATCCCCAGCTTTGGGGAACTTGGCAGGTACTAACGGCGGCTTCCTTGTGTAGAGGGAGGTTACCCACCTTGCCACTGGGGCACAGAAGTGACCCTACATTATGTTTTAAAGACCTGTCTATTCTACAACTGCACTGACCAAATGCACACTGACTAGTGACACTAGCCACATATAGTTATTTAAACTTAAATTAATAAAATTAAATACATGTTAAAATTCAGTTCTTCAATCATAGTACCCTCATTTCAAGCGCTCAGTAGCTGCAGGCAGCTGGTGGCTGGCATACTGGACAACCCAGACGCAGAACAAACACCTGTATCATCAAGGGCACTTCTAATGGACAGCCCTGCTTTGGATGTATTTTTTTTTTTTTTTTTGAGATGGAGTCTCGCTCTGTTGCCCAGGCTGGAATACAGTAGCGCGATGTCCGCTCACTGCAACCTCTGCTTCCCAGGTTCAAGCAATCCTCCTGCCTCAGCCTCCTGCGTAGCTGGGGTTACAGACACCTGCCGCCATGCCCGGCTAATTTTTTTTGTATTATTGGACGAGACAGGGTTTCAGCATATTAGCCAGGCTGGTCTTGAACTCCTGACCTTGTGATCTGCCCACTTTAGCCTCCCAAAGTGCTGGGATTACAGGCGTGAGCCACCGCGCTCAGCCTCTGGTTGTATTCTTAACAAGCCAGTCACCTTTCTGTGCCATTCATGCATTCAACAAATGGTTATGGACACTACACCATACAACGCCTGCTGCTACTATGATAACATATCAATATTTGGCAATGATACTTCGATCGACACTTGCATTCAAAATTAAGACCTCTGTGCTCTATCATGTTCTAAGGCTTAGATGGTTTAAGGTACGTTCATTTAGAACTCAGAATGGTCTCTATTCTCAGGATGCTTGCTGGCATTTGGGACTGCAAACAATGTGGAATCCAAACTCTGTTCATGACTCTGCTAATTCTTGAGAGAAAATGGCTCAACAACAAGACACGGTGCTGTTGATGCCCCCTGCCAGGTTTTGCTGGGATTGACAAATTTGGTGTTATGTTTCACTTAGGAATCCTGCTGACTGACAACCCTCAGGATGTGCACATGCTGCTGGCACGTTGGTCCCACTCCCCAAATAGCCTCCCAGATTTGACACACCCTGGTGACTCAACTTGCTTTCTCGTTAACCTGAAGCCCTTTCTTTGTTTGACACATTTTCCCCCTGTGGGCAGACTTTCTGCCTTAGGAGAGCTGACATCAATAGTGCTATTCCATGCAGCAAACCACTAGAGACAACACATTACTGGGGAGGGGGTACTGGGTGCTGGGAGACCTGGGAACAGTGTGTGTCTCAGTGGAGCTTACAGAAACCAGGCTGTTCAATTTATTTCTCTGCTGTTAATTTCAAGGTGCTGCTACTGCTACTTCAAACTGTAATAGTGTCTACAAACAATTTGCACTTTGGAATGGCACAATCCCAGGGGGTAATTAACAAATCCGGGGAACAATCTTTTTAAAAGCCTTTAAAAGCAACAGAGACTGGGGCCACCTTCGATGAAATAGAATCACTCCGCTTTCTCTGTCATTTCAGAAGATATCTGGCTGACTCCTAGAGAGGTTTAGAGAGCACAGGTCCTGGACTTTATGGAAAGTTCCTCAAGATGTGTTAATTAGAAATAAAATGCAGCATGGTTATCGGCTGCAGAGCTTTCTGAATGAAACAGGCTTTGAGAGGGTCTGAGATTTTGAGAGTTAGAAGCAGAGTTCACAAAGGGCCACCCAAGGACTATGAATTCCATACCATTCTCCATTCCAAGGTAGAAGACCGCGTTCACCAGCATGCCGCCTTTCCGGAAGTGATCGCTCATGTGCTCTAACCAGTTGGCATCCAAGCCGCTCACCGCCTGGCCATTCTTGGAGACACGGAGAGGAATGGTGACAGGGTAGTATTGCCGGCACTTCTGATGGCTCTTCGGTTTGTTGAAAAGGGCGAAGATCTCCATTTCTGTTGGGATTTGGAGAGGGAGGGGAGAGAGAAGAGGTCAACCATGATAAAAATCTGCTCCATAGGGTTTAGTGGATCTCTCAGGAGCCTGTATAAATGATATGATGAATGCTGAAATCTCCGTGAGGCTGTATTGTTGCCAGATAATAAAGCCTCATTCCAAGTAGTAAGTTGAAGCTGCCTTAAATTAACATGGACCTGAAAGGTTGGGCTTCTGATGGGGGACTCAGGTTTTTAATCTAGAATGTAATGAATAGCTGTTATCTGGGATTCATGCACACAGTTAGGTGTTTAAGAAAAGAACATAGGAGATGGTTATAGAAATTCATACAAAGATGTGTTTTGGAAATAAAAGCAGACATATCTGGGGGAGAGTGGTCTTTTAAAAAGTAAAGGTACAGAGACACATAAAAACAAAAATACTGCCCTAATTCCAGGAACCTTGTACACTCCTGAACTCACTATTTATAAACTGCAGCGGTGTTTCCTGGGGCCGAACTCATAATACTTAATCAAGTACATCAAAAATACATCATGGATATGTAAAAATAAATATGTTCCCGTAAATGAGAGTTCCTGCCTGCAGTAGCAGGTCGGTCCAGCCAAGGGGGCACTGGGAATGAGTGCTGAGCTTTCAGTTCCTTCATGTATAGCTCAGTTCTTCGGCAATCAATAACCACTGCCACCCAGCAGCTGAGCCGCGCCTGCCTACGTGCAGCCGGGCATGGGTTAGCAGTGGCAGCCTCCAGAAGCGAATACCTGGAATTTCAATCTAAGTCTGAAAGTCTATTTTTGTGCTCCTCATTTAGTCAAGTAATCGGTTGACCCAGCTTAAAAAGTCTTGCTTACACAGGCTAGTCAGGAATACGCTTTGGTTTCCAAAAATATCTTCTTAAATCATAAGAAAATCCCCACCCTTCTGTGAAACAAGAATTTAAAGGTCATAAACAATGGCTGACATTAGCAGGAAGGACAGAGCACATTCACGCCCCCTGCATGAGACACCTGGACCCACACTCTCTGATGCTGTTTCCCACATTTCAGTATCTCACAGTGTTTTGTGGTATCCAAGTTCTAGTTGATTTTTTTAATTGAATCACCTTCCTTTATTTAAACAAATAATTTAAAAAAAAAAGGAAAACTTTATTTCATGACAATGAAGGCAATCCACTACCACGTGCCAAAAACACGGGGTGATGACAAAGCACATTAACACCAAATACGTTCATCCATCTAACATATCTCACGTAGGTCACAAAGTCTTCTCACAGCCCCATCTGAGCAAGCACCAGCAGAGATCTCTAGGGACCAACGCTGGGCCATATTACTTTGTCATCAGCAACACCTGAACCAACAGGAGCTATTTCAGGCTTTCTGCCTAACAGAACAATTAGGAAAGGAAGGTGCCCATCTTCATAAGTGGGCACCTGGATTTTAAACACCAATGCTAGCCTGTTCAACATCCCCATCCCAAGTTGCTTTTCTCAGTCCTCCTGCTTACTCAGGAAGCCATCTCCAGCCGGAAAATACTTTCACACCAGAAATTAGGTCCTGGTGTGTAGAGCTCGCAATCATTAGACTAGTTCGTGACTTCAAAATACAAACTAGAAATAGATGGACACAGAAGGGGCTCGTAATGGAGGGAACAGCCATGGATTAGGGCTGGGTGGGTGGGAGGTGAACTAGATGATCAGGTGTTTTTCAGTCCTGGGTGCCGGGGGTTCAATTAAAAGCTCAGCTACTGAGGGCAAGAGGATAAGCAGGGTTTGAGTGAGTTCTTGCCGTCATCTGGATTCCTTCAAAAGCAGACCCTGCAACCTTTCCTATGCAAGTAGTTTATCTGGGAAGTGACCCGGGAAACAGAGGGAAGGAGTAGGAATGGGAAATAGGGAGGAGATGGAGATGATGCCAGTGAATGAGCATGTTCCTCCTGGGGCAACTGGGGCTCAATCCCACCAGGGACCCTGAGACTGTAAAACACACCTCACATTCACCCACCAAAGGCAAGGAAGGTGGGACGTTTATCCTTATAAATTGAGGGTCACTCCCCAGGGCCCATTCCCAAGAACGCCTGCAGGCAGAGAGGCTAAGGAGGCTGTGGGCCTGGCCCGAGCTGTCCGCAGGTGACCCCAGCATGGGCCACAGCACCACTCGCCACAACCTGCTACAGTCAAGCACAAATGCAAATGAATTAAGAAGAGAGAGAAAAAAAATCACAAACTTTGCATGGGAGAAGTAGGTGGGGAATTTGGAAGTGGCCAAAGTCCAGAACTACACGGTAACACTTGATCACACAGAATGAACGAACTCCCACTCAATGGCAAGACAAAAACACAACTTTCCCAAACACGTCATGAAGCTGTAAAAGGGGAAGGCCAAAGGGGAAGCGAGAATGCCGGGGGTGTATTGGAGGAAGACGGAGACCCTCAGAAAAGGTAGACGGTGCTGACAGCTCTCCTGGCTTGATCCTCCTAAGGGGCCAGACTGAAGCCAGAGACAGAAATAAATTTCTAAGGAAAAGGAAACAGCGTTGGAACCAAGAGTCTCCAAAGTATCAGCAGCAATGAAATATTGGGAGAAACCTGATTGCAGATGCGTAACCCTTGTACACTCCTCTGTCCCGTCGTCTCCTTGGCCCCAGTCCTTTCTCTCCTCACGTGGAAACCAGCCAAGAGAAACTGTCCAAAAGCGATGCCCTTTGATGTTCTAATATTCTGATTCTCCAACACATATCCTCACGTGAGCAAGCACCAAGGATTCTAAAAAGAAGCCCCATGTTTGTTCAAATCTTCCCAGCTGCTCTGTGACTCTGTCATGACCCGAGCTGAAAGAGTTTTCCAGACATGGGGCAAAAAAGTCCCCAGGGGGAAGGGAAGACATTGTTTCTGAGACGTTCTGGGAATGGCTGAAGGGCTGCACTGGCAGAGCACCCAAGGAGCATCGGGACTTTCTTCTCGTCTCTCCCTTCGCCCACCTTGTCTCATTTTGATCCCTCCTGTTGCAATCATGTTCGCTAAGTTGACCTAAGCCGACCAGAGGAGAAAGCGAGGGCAGGCCAAGCGGGCATGGTGCCCAAGGGTAGGGGTGGCTGAGTGCTGCCGGCCTGAGGGCCTGGTCCATTCAGGCCGTGCCAGGCTACTAGGGAGTGGGAGCAAAGAGGCAGGTGTCCAGCCCTGAGGTCTGTGCCTGGGCATGGGGACTCAGGCACAGGATGGAAGGCTGCAGTTTGCCTGCAGGTGGGGTCCCAGAGAGGCTCTGTCTCAAGGGTAGGCAGGGGACTGGCTGGCCCTGCTGTCCCAGGAGACCTCTGGTCTGGAGAGAAGAAAGAGTTTACAGCCTGGCTGAAAATCTGGGACTCCAAGGGCTAGCTGGGGGAGGAGGAGGCAGCTGGTCATTAGCTGCACTGGAAGGAACAAGTGGGTGTCATACTTGGCTGGGCAGCCCAAGCTGGGTGGGGACTGCAGGCTGCTGAGGTCATGGGCAGAAGGGACTAAGCAGAAAGGTTTGCATTGGCAAGACAGGCAGTGGGCACCGTGGTGGCAAGGCAGGGCAGGAGGGTAGAAGGACCCCAGGCTGCTCCATCCAGAGGTCTGAATCTGGGCAAGGCTGCTCAAGCTTCAATCAGGCTTGGGTACTAACAGCAGGGCACCTCTGGGCCACCGTGAGGCCCACTTGCCAGGGCAGCAGGGAAAAGCAAAGTGCAGGGACCGCTGCATGCACAACAATCCACGGGAATCCACTGGTAAGGATGACAGCAGCCACAGGCACGTGTCCCGCATTTACAAGGGCCTTTCACCTTCACCATCACATGTGACTCTCCAACGTCGATGGGAGGGGTGGCACTGGTTCTGTGCCCAGAAGCGTTAAGTGGGTCCCCCAGAGATCACAAGCCAGTAAGTGGCACAGCCAAGAGTCTTTCAAACCCCAAACTCTGGGCTCTTTCCCAAATCTAACAAGAAGCTAATTTTATCAGGACAGAGAAGGCAGGGGCTGAGGACCACGGGTGGGAGCTCAATAGCTGTGTGTTAATGGACTGAATAAAAGGCCAGAAAGATGGCAGCAGGTGGCGGGCCTGGGAGGGGGCCACATTATGGGGTCCAACTATCCCAAGGGTGTGGGGAGGGAAGGTGCCCTCACATCAGGTAGGCCCAACCCTCGGGTTTTAGCCATTCACAATGAGCTGGCAGCCAGGGAGGGGTACTGGATACAATCCTCTTAGCCAGAAATGATTGGCATCACAGGCTCGGGTTTCTGCTGACACTTCTAAGCGTTTTAAGTGAGGAGGTGTGGGGTAGGAAGGGCAGTGCTTGGAAGACTTCTTATTTTGGTGACAGTGAGAATGATTAGAATTTTTGTGAACCTGTCTAGGCTCCTCGTTTCTCTGATGAAGTTGTAGCAAAGGAGATTCTGAGGCTCTCTCTGCACAGGCTCCAGAGATTACTGCACAGCATGGACCTCCAACCAAAAGGAAATTCCCCCAGACCAGGAAATAAAAGTCAGTGAGCAGGAAGAGGAACCTGCAGGGGCAATGAGGGCTGACAGCTGCCCCGAGCCTGCAGAGATGGGGAGGGGTGACCTGCCCCTGCTTCCGCACGGAGGATCCACTGCAAAGTCCTGTCTGAGCAGTCACTGCCTAGATTCCTCTCCCCAAGGCCTCCTATAAAGGAAATAAATTAACTGAGGAGAAGGAGGGAAGAGGAGGTGGATTCCCTCCGGATTTTTTTAATTGTCTTGCTGTGATTGCCTATTTAAGCCCACCTGGCAGAAGAGGAATAAAAATACTTCACCCGCCTTAGGGGGCCCTGAGAGAAGGCAAGCTGGGAGCTGAGCACGCAGCGGGGAGGGGCGCCTGGGGGGCCTGTGTGTGCCTGTCAGGGAGTGGATGGGGAGCGGACTTCCCAGGAGAAAGATTAGGGAAGAGGCCGGGAGTCAGGTGAGGGTCACGACCAATGGGGACAGAGTCCCTGGATGTCCAGCCTTCAGGGAGGCCAAAGGCTGAGGCTGTGATAAGGAAATTTAACTGTATGGGGGTATGAAAGGTGACATTCCCTACCTGTGAAATGGACATAATAGTAGCATCTTCTGCCATAAAGCTGTCGTGAGGAATGACATGACACAGAAGGACACAGATACACAGAATCGTGCATGTGGAGGGTGACTGCCATCGTGACCACTGGAAGGCTTATAAGTGAAATGATCCCTGAATGAAAAACCCAAGGGCTCCTTGATTCCACCAAAGGAGGGAAAAAGGGTAACAGTGAGCTGCCTAAACGTCAGGATCTGCAGCCTGAGCAGAGATGTGCAGAGACAGGCAATGTTTACCTGCCTAGGGACACTGAGCAAAGGCGGCTTTCATCCCTCCTCTGGGCCTACCCCAGCAGAGCGGCAATTCTCATCCACTGGCAGGCTGACCACCTCCAGAAACACACGCACTCACCCATTCCTCCCCAGCAAGCTCTGTTCCTCCAGGAGAGAACAGGGACATGGGTGATGGGATGGGGGCCAAGATGCTTTGGGTATCCATTTTTCTGGGTGTTCAGCTGTCAGGGGAGATTCTGGGTGAGTGGCCACAGGGTGGCAGGAAGGTGCTGGGCACCTGGAGAGGTTCCTAGGACAAGTCTCCCGGTGAGTAATGCTCTCACAGAAGGCAGGAAGTCTGGAAAGTCTTGGAGGAAGGTGGGCTCTGGAACACAGGAAGGATCTGAAAACTCCTGAGGAAGCCTCAGTAGTAACTGCCTCCTTTCTCAAAGCCAGGATTCCATGAGAGTGGAGGTCGAGCATCAGGAACTACCGAGCCTGTGCCTCAGTAATAGCGGCTCATACTCACGAGTCAAGCAGCGCCGAGCGCTTTAAATGTACATCTTTTTTAACCTTTCCATAAGGAACTATCCTTCTATCCCCATTTTGCAGGGTGTGAAAACGAGGCATGGAAGGCAGGCTGGAAAGCTGATAGAGGCTAGATTCTTGAGACCGTGCCCCTTGCCTCTCCTCACTCCTGCCCTTTCTCCTGGGGGCCTCAGCCTGGCCTGACCCTCATCCTCCCACAGTCCTGGACCCATATAGAAGGTCTTCAATGAGGCCCATCTTCCCGCTCAGGATTCAGAGCACACACATCCAGCCCAACCTTCACGAGAAGATGGAAGTTTCTGGATTGAGACCTGGGCGTTCACGCAGAGGACACACTGGGATTAAATGCACACTCAGCTACTCCATGAGGGCAACAGGCATCTGCCTCAAACAGCAAAAAACTGTACAAATGAAGGGCTCTATTCAGTGCATACTTCAGAAGGCTCAAGGCCTTGATTAAACAATAGGCTTGGCCGGGCGCGGTGGCTCAGGCCTGAAATCCCAGCACTTTGGGAGGCCGAGGCAGGCGGATCACGAGGTCAAGAGATCGAGACCATCCTGGCCAACATGGTGAAATCCCGTCTCTACTAAAAAATAAATAAGCTGGGCTTGGTGGTGTGTGCCTGTAGTCCCAGCTACTTGGGAGGCTGAGGCAAGAGAATTGCTTGATCCCAGGAGGCGGAGGTTGCAGTGAGCCGAGATTGTGCCACTGCACTCCAGCCTGGCACCTGGTGACAGAGCAAGACTCTGTCTCAAAAAAAGAAAAAAACAAAAAAAAACACAATAGGCTTACTATATCACAGAACTGAGGCAGCAGCTCCCATATCTCACTCTAAATGAACTTTGCAAATAAACTCCTGGAATTAACCAGAACTTCTTGAGAAGAATTAATTTTCTTTTCAAGAAGTTCTGATGTAACAAAAGAAACTGTTTCTCCCCATTTTCCCTTCTCAAAACACCACCTGTTCATTGTCACTTGTAAGAGGCTAATTTCAAGAATTAGCAAATCAATGATAATAAGAATATTGACCAGGATGATCATTTAGAAAGCCCTCCTAAGCCCTGGGGGCCTTCCATCAGTCTTCATAGTTGTCTGCCTTCTAAAGGCTGGAAGGGGCCACATGGCTCATGTAAGTACCTTGCTCTCAGGAAATGACTAGATGCTAGATTTCCTGGACAAAGGGGAAATATGGATGGTAGATTTCCTGAAGAAAGTAAGAAAAAGGAAATACAGAGAAATGGAGGGAAACTTTGCTGCCTGTAAATCTTAAGGCGCTTGGTAATCTTGTTAGTCTATCACCCAGGAAAGACCAAGCAGAGGGGCGTGAAGGGAAGGTGAGTGAGTCCACCTGGTTCCTATGTCCGATCTGCCTATTTCCAGCCTGGGGAACAAATTCTCTCTCTAAACCCCAGTTTGCTCAACTGTAAAATATCTTGCTTTAGGGAGGTATTTTAACAAGTGGAGTGTAGGTTCTCATTGGTGGCTGGCAGGCTGACACTTCCTGCGTGAAAGCTGGGTAATTCAAGGGCAATTTTGAGAGCACAGGGCATAAAAGAACTCACAGTCTAGAATCCACTTCAAATGTGACATTTTGGAGCAAACTGCAAGTCAATTTCATGTGGTTCTGTCCTGCCCGGAAGTTATAACTGCAGTTAAGTAAACAGTCAGGTGGCCCAGATAACTGCTTGATAAAGTTTCTCCTGTTTGATGGACTGCTGCCTCTATATCCAATTCCATTCCTTTTTCTCTGAGATACCATGGGGATTAATGAAAAGCTGTTAGCTGCTCTTTAAGTGGGTCAAAGCTCCCAGTGCTGACATACTTACTCCCTGAGAGTGGCTCTTCATGCACCTCCAAGGGGTCGCTGTCCAGTCCATCCAGTGTCTTGCTCACCCCCCGGGGTGAAAGTTCTCCACCATCTCCCTCTCCAGAGGGTAAGATGGGCTGCTCCGTGATGGGCACCTCCCCTCTGGGGCCTGAGCTGGGCTCTGGGCTTTGGTTTCTCCCAGGTGGAGCACCGCACACGTCCCCAGCCCCTGGTTTCTCATTCTCCAGCGATGCGTGATCCCCGCGTGCGTTTTTTGCATCTCTGGCATCCTCGGTGCTGTTGGCAGTAGACACGGGAGCACTGCTGCCTGCCAAGTTCACGGGGGAATGGTACTGGGGTATAACACCAACGAATTTCAGACCCTGGCTTGCGGCCTCCTGGATCTGTGAGGCAAACAAAAGGAAGGGAAGCAAGTGAATGGAATGGTCTATCAAAGAGACTCGTGCTGCGCGCAAAGCACCTCCCTGAGGCCTGCGAGGCTATTTCAGGTGCACGTGAAGAATTCCAAGCCGGCAGGGCACCTGCCACAGTACCGTGGCCTGAAGAGGACAATTATTTATTATTTTTTTAAAACTATGTTGTCTGAAGGAATAATAAGTTATTTGCTCTGAAGGGTTGAAAGCACCACTTTGAAACACTGCATTAGTCCTTATTAACATTTTTTAAAGAGGTTGGAAAAAGTTCTAAACAAAGAGTTTGAAAGAGGAAGTTCGTTTTGGTAAGGGTTTGTTTTTTTTGTTACTTTTCTTCGGATGAATCACTGACTTCCTGCCCATCAGGCTACTGTATAACTACAGCTTGTCTATAAAAGCATATACTAACAACAGATGGCATTTTATGACCCAGAGAGCTTCCTTTTTTGACAATAGTTCTGGCAGAGAAGGGCAGAGGTAGGGAAAATCACCCCCGTGCCAAGGCTGTGGGTACATCCTCCATGAGATGCGCCATCTGACGGATACCTTGCTCCCTGGTACTCTCAGGCTTAGGGAAGGGGAAAGGAGCCCAGAGATCACGCCCAGCCCACAGCCACAGACTGACTCTTGCTCTCCAAGTCCTGGTCCATACCATCCAGCACAGGTAGCCAGGTGATCGTTCCTTCTCACTCCCTGTACCAACGGGTGGGGGAATGAATACCCACCTGGAGAACTAGGGCACTTGAACTCTCCCTCTCCCTAAAAATTAGCCCAAGGCAATTGGATTGAGTGTAAGTCATAAGTCTGAAGGAAAAATGGAAAGTAATAACCTAATAAAAATCAAACAAGAGCCAGCCAAAACCAGAAGATAGGCTTTAAGGGACTTTCCAGGCAAGGATGCTTAAGTCACTTTACAAGTAAATAAGGCGGTGCAGAACTCAGAGCTGTCTAAGTCTTAGTCACCAAGCCCTAAGCAGATGACCTCAGAAAATCTGGAGGCCTCTGTAATGACAGTCTACCCTCATTTGAGAGTTAGTTTCACCAGCATGGAGTTATTCTCTCTAAAGGAGAAGCAGCCCTGACATTAAATGGAAAGTCATTTTTGTTCCACAGGGCACTCCTGGAAAACTGCCGTTGCAAATGTGAAGCCCAGTCTTTCTTTAAATCCTAGCCTGTGCTGGGCATAAAAATAATCATAGCATTAGTTACTGCCTAGTATAGACATACTATGTCTAGGCATTGAGATAGGCATTTTACATAAGTTAAAACAACAAAACGTTTAATCCTTCGACGACGCTGCATGGTATCGTTGTCTCCATTTCAGATGAGGACACTGGGGCCCAGAGACATTAAAAAGTTAGAAAGCAAGCAGTGAGTATCCAGAGTGCAAAACCAGGTCTGGACTGGCCAGAGTTCATTCTTTTAATCACAAGACTCTGGACCCATCTCAAGGTATCAACGACATACATGTCTATGGATATGCATGTGCCCACTCATATGCCCAGAGCTGGCTCAATTCACTCCTCAACAGTTACAAAAACAAAACACAAAAAAATCTTAAAGCCATGCATTCCATTCTGAAAATTTAGTTTTTCCCTCATTAATCTATGATATCCACCTATTTTAAAAATTATTGTATAAAGCTCCTGAAAGAAGACACAGCAACACAAATTTTAAAAGAAAATAGCAGGGAGGTAACTCTACCAAAGAACTCTGGAGGCTGAGGAAAACCACTGCATGCAAAGCATACTTGGGAGCTTCCTGGCAACATAGGCCAAAAGAGGAGTGCAGTGGGTTTGACAGCCCTCAGATGAAATGAGGGGACCTCTGCACTAGCTTCTGCCGTGCTGTCTTACTGCGGAGGAAACAGCTATGACTACTGAAGCATTTTAATGACTGCTTCCATGGAGGACTCCACCACAGGCCAGTCTCAACGAGAGTCATAGAAAGAGCATGAAGTCTAAAGGCTTTTGAAAAGGCCTGATGCGGAGCCCCCGATGTGTGACTCACCATCTTGGGGAACCAGGGTAGATTATATGAACTTTCTGTGCCTCAGCGTTCTCATGTATGAAATGAGTGAAAACACACTTATTTTGCAGTTGCACTGAAGCTTAATTTAAACGTTACCTATGGCAAGTACGCCAAAGGATGGGGCACAAAGATGGGATCTCTAACCTCTCTGCTTATCAGTCCCGGGCTTCTGTGGTCCTGCAGAGACCGCTGAGTCATCTAGAGTGAAGCAATGAGGACTCCAGACCCAGGGCATTGTCCTAGCTCTACCCTTCCTTACTGGGACTGGAAGAATTGGAGAGACTTGGACACAGACATCTGCCCTTCTCCCACAACAAACTGGACAACCATATTCCTTTGCCATATTGTACTGCAAATCTGTCCTCTGGGCCAGGGGTCCTCAAAGCGTGGTCCCCAGACAAGAGCATCAGCATCCCCTGGGGACCTGCTGGAAATGCAAATTCTCAGGCCCCACCACAAACCTATTGAGTCAGAAGCTCTGAGGGTGGGATCCAGCAATCTGTGTTTTAACAAGCCTTCCAAAGGTTCCAATACAGCCTGATAGTTGAGAATCACTGCTCTAGAATACACACTTCATAAGGGCTGGGATATTTTGCACTGCTACATTCCCAGTAATAGAATGATGTCTGACAGATAGCAGGTCCTCAATAAATATCTGTTGAATGAATGAATATATTAAATAATGTTTGAATATATATGTCTTCTCTCCCAAAATGAGCTCCTACAGGTAGGGATGAAGACATTAATTTAACAACTCTATAATTCAACAAACGTTTAATAAGCCCCTACACTGGCCCAGACCAACACAGTACTTAGGTACCGCGAATATAAAATAGGATCCCTAACCCTCAAGAACATTTGGCCAATTATTTAAAAATAATTTAAAAATAATTACACTATCATGGAACAATTAATGCTTATAATGACATGTAAAAAGTCAAGATCCTAAACTTCATAGACTTTATTATGACAGCTATGTAAAACACATATATAAACTATGCATGGAAACAGTCACCAAAATAAGAACAACACTGTATTTGGGGAGAGGGGCTATGAGTGATTTTTTTCTATTACTGTGTAATTTTCAAAATTTACCTAAGGGGCAAGGATGTTACTTTTAGAATTGAAAAGGTAAAAATTGAAATTGTAAAAATTCCTCACAGAGGATAATATAGTAATGGATGTAAAGGTACGGAAATGACAGTGGCAACAGGGATTATTTCTGCCTGAAGGGGAGGTTGAGAAAAGTTTCTCAGAGTAGATCAGGGATGTCACACATGACGTGGTAGAACACAAAAGGAAGAGTGAGAAATGTGGCGGAAATGGAGGATGTATGCCTCACCTTAAAACATTCAAATCCATTTCTTTTTCAAAACGCCATGCTAGACAAAACCTATTTGGGACCTACTCTGCAGAAGGCTTTGAAGGATGAATCTGAGTTAACCAGACATGTAAAGGAAAAGGTAAAAGGAAAGGGCAATCCATGTAAAGGCAAGGAAGGATCATGATGGGCAAAAGCTTGACAGTATGCAACAGCATGGGGAGTTGAGGAAATTTCTAGAAATATTTATGGAACACGACATGAGAAAATAAGGTGAGCCCAGAAATGAGGCTTGACTGGACGTCACAAGGACAGGATCACATATGGCCATGGATCCATGCCCACAAAGCCTCCGACTTCACCCTGCAGGTCAGCATACCCGACTCTCGCACGCAGTCAAAACCTCAAGAGCAAAACCTCAAGGAGAGTGGGAGTCTGAGGGAAAACTGCAAGATTTCTTTGAAGGCTCATCTTTTACCTTCGACTTCAGGGCAAATTTTGTATCTTACAGCATAGTGCTGCCTTGGATCAAAACCTTTAAAAAGATGTCAAAGTTAAACGCTGCCCTTATCCCATGCGTTCCAGGGAAATTCACACCCCCAAGAAGAGGAGGCATATTTGTAGCTCTACTTTTTCCTTCAAATAGATTCCTGGAAGTCAAAATAATGTGTGAAGGGATATTAACTTTTCAAAGGCCTGGTAGAGTCTGCCAAATTGTTTACCAGAAAGGGTGAGTGATCCTTTTAACTAAAAGACCACATTTAGATCTTAAGAAGATCAATATTTGGCTAGACCTAGGGACCACGACACTTACGGTTCTGTCTTACCATGGTATAGGCGCTTTCCTCTTTTTCATCAAGTCATTTGACAGTGTACCTAGGGCTAAATTAAATCCTGCTTCCCATTCATGGATTTATAACCTTCGCTGAGCCAGTCACACATTCATCATGGTGGTAGGCATGTGATGTGTTCATCAGGGTGCATCCCCCGTCACCAGCTCTCCTCCACTCTACCCTCCCCTGATGACTTCCTCCACTCACATCGGTTTAGCCACAAATCAGATGTGAATTCTACCCAAGTGTGAACCCCTAGCCCTGGCTTTCCTTGGAAGTTCAGACCTACACAGTAGACGATCACAGCTGTTGGGTCCACTGTCGATCTGGTCTCTCCAGCTGGAATCACAGTATCTTCTTCCCTTTCTCAAATCCTGTGTATCTGTTCACCACACCCTGCCACATTTATCCCCCAGTGTTTTTAGAATTACTTCCTCATTCTCCATAAAGTGACTCTATCCAAGGTCACTTTACGTCAAGCCCTCATTATCTGTTGCTGGACATCACCATGACCTCAGGCTCTGCCACGGTCTTCATGAGCATGGAACCAAATCAACATGGAAGAACAGACCACGAGGAGCCAGGTCACCTCCGCCACGGAGTTCCCCACGGGCTCGCACACATGCCCACAACATCTCTAGCAACTGCGATGACAGGACACTTCAATTGTTAACGTTGCACAACTCTTCTATGAAGAACTTCCTTGTGCATTTTCATAGGCCGCAAAATCTTACCTTATGGAAGAGGAAACTGCTTAAGAGAAGATTATGTGACTAGTCAAACCT